TGGCTCGGGAATTCTGGGAGTTGAAGTCCACTCATCTTAAAGTGGCCAAGTTTGGACAACACTGGATTAGAACAAAACTAACAATATTTCTTTTTAAAAGAGCCAATGGTCAAGTTTCTTATCCTTTCCCATAATTGTAAGAAAGCAGAATTATACTGCCAAAGGAACAAAATTATGTAAAATTAGAAAATTAGAAAATCATGCAATGTTTATTTATACAAATGAATATATATTTAATCCTCCAGTCATTGGTACAGACATTTGCAAAAAGAAGCACACTTTCTCTTGTGCTATCAATCATAGATTTAAATCTCTATAACGAAGGCTAGGTAATAGCATTTCATTATTCTTAAGAATTAAATATCAATTCTGGAGACAGTAATTTTTTACAGGGGAGTGGCTCAAGTTGGGTAGAGAAGTAAAATTCATTTTGGACAAAAAGCAAAGTACTGGAAATACACAGGCATACAAATGCACACATGCTGCTAATTACACTCACCCATCATGACATATCCAAAACTTCCTATTGTAAACCACTGACCTAATACAAGTCCCAGCTGGGGTTTCTCCTTTGATTTTTATTCTTCTTTATACAGTATTACTAAGGGCAGGGAGCTAGTTTAACCTGAAAGGATCTTCTACCGACCTCTAGTGGCCAACTGTGAAATCAGCTATTTTGAGGCTTAATGTAGTCTTATTTTCAGTTTTCAGTCCAATATGCATATCCTTTGAGGGCAATTAACATAATAATAATAGTTTCAAATTAAAACACCTAATATGTATATATCCTGAGGGGAAAATGATAGTTCTTTCCCAGTTTGCTAAAATGCTGGAACCCCTCTTTCCCTTTCCCTGATTGGCTGTTACAAACCATACTACAGTTATGAAACTTCTCAACCATTAGCTGAACTACTTTGATGCAACATAAGCTTGGAAGTTATTCCGTCCAATAAGAAAATGACTGAAGGCCACATCCCAGCCCCCAAGGATGGAACCAAAGCCGAGAATAGATCACTCCTTTTCTCTCCTTATCCTCCTTTTTCTTACCATCCAGATGTTCTTCTTTCTTCTGTTTCTTCCACAAACAGACAAAACTGTCCTATACTGTGCAGAAGAACATCCATAAAGATCAGTTCACTCTACTCCAGTGTTTCTCAACCTTGGCAACTTTAAGAGATGTGGACTTCAACTCCTTGCTGGCTGGGGGATTCTGGGAGTTGAAGTCCACATCTCTTAAAGTTGCTAAGGTTGAGAAACACTGCTCTACTCTATAGATCATGGATTATTTGGTTGTTGTTTTTTCTCTGACCAGATCCAATCTCTTTTTCTCCTGCTGGCCACAGTGGAGCTCACCATGGTGACAGGGGTGGTAGCATCAGCTAGCCGTTTTCAAGACTCTACCAATGGAGACAAGGGATCCCACACATATTACAAGTTGCTCTTCTCTACTTAAATAAAGCTCCAAACATAAATGCCTTCAATGCCTGAGTTACTGCAACAATTTAGCAAGCTGGAGGTCTTGCTCTACGTGCGGCTCCTTGCAGAATGTTCAGTGATGACATGGACACAAGCTTTCTCTTCAATGGCACCTGTGGAATAACCAGGTAAGCTAGGCCCTGAGGTTACTGTATTTTAGATGTCTTTTAAAAACCATCCATTCATCTCCTTCCACTAACATTTGTTTCTTGTTTTAAAAGAGTTATGCTTATTCTTTTTTCTCTTGTTTTTTTTCACTGCTTTTATACTCTTTTTACTGTATTTTTTTTACTGCTACTATAAATGGTTTTAGGATTATTAAAATCAGAAGTAGTATATAAGTAGTATTCTGGAGAAAGTGTATCTATGTGATCATTAACAGATGACACTGACTTGATGGCACATAATCAATCAATGTAAGTACTAAGCAACACCCACCACGTATATGTATGATTTCAATGTACTTATCAAAGATAAGGTACATGACATTCTGTGAAATGCATTATACAGAAATATTTTTATTATTCTCTACACAGGCAGTTTGATTCCAATGCAGTCCTTCTGTGCAACTGAAAGAACAGATTTTGCATCCACATGCCAGTCTGTCCCTGTTAAATAGAATTATTTTTATTTCAGTACTGAATCAGTTTTAGCACACAGTATCCTGAAATAATAATTTAAAAAAGGGAATGAAAACAGCAGATTCTCATCCAATATTGATTTGTTTACTCCCCGGGGAGAGCAGGGTCAGCCCAAGGCATTTCACTACCCAGGAAAGAAGACCGGTGGCAATCCAATCATTCCATGTTCACAAATAGACTGGGCTGGGAGGTGATGAGATGCCATCCTTCAACACACCTGAGGCAGCAGACTATTTCAGGAGGCCTGGGACAGATAATGTGCCATATATTGCTCTGCTCTCCAAGAGGGGAAGATATGAGGAACTTCAGAGAATCAGCCTGGGATTCTGTCACTCATGTTCTCCAAGAGCTACTACTTGAGGTGCTTCCTTCATTGAACCATACAGAAGAAACCCTTCCAGGTTCACAAATCCTCTTCCCTCACCAGCCACAAATCTTTAGACGTTATCTTAGAATAGGGATCAGCAACCTTTTTAGACAATAGTCAGAGTCATGCAGTTTTGCGTGATGTCTTGGATGCCAAAACAATTTAAAAAACTTTTTGGAAACATGAAATTACAGAAATTAAAAATAGCAAAAAAAACCTCAAGAGAACTGATATGAGAACAAACAACACATGAGATGTCAGACATTTTTAATTTTTAAAAATAATTACTATCTTAATTTTGGAGGTCAGTTTATTTATTTTCTTAACCTGGTTTATATGTTGCTGCATGCCAAACTCTAAGTAGCTTAAAATACCATATACCAAATAGGTTTAGAAATGCTAAAAACCAAGAACAGAAACAATTAAGCCTATACCTGCTCTCATAACACAATGTGCCTATATCTCAGGAATAGTACAACTTTCCATCTCATCCCCAAAGGCTCTTTGGAAAAGCCAGGTTTTCAGGTCTCTTTGGAAACACCCAAGAAGCATCATAAGAAAGTAAGAAGAATTGTGATGAATCTGATAAAGGACCATCCATTCTAGCATTCTGTTAGTAAACAACTTCTGCTTTCCAGTTTCTCCACATCATACAAGATGTAAAACACGTCTATCATATCTCCCATTATTTTCCCCCCTCTAAGCTAAAAAACTTATGTTGTAATATTTCCTGCCAACAGCTATTCTAGCCTCTTGATCATTTGGGTGGTCCTTTTGGTATTTATTTGTTATTACTTCCTTTTAGACACATTTATTATTTGTAACTTGCAGCTCCCAGGTCCTAATCCAACATCTTAGCCACTATGCCACACTGGCTCTCCTTTTTTATAACTTTTCCAGTTCTAGAGTATCCTTCCTCAAGTTTTGGGTCCAAAACTGCCCAGTTTCCTCATATGATTCTAATATGGAGTTTGCTTTTCAGAACAGCCACACATTCAGTCATCATTTCCCAACCTGCTGCCCTGCAGAAGCAGGATTACAATTTCTTGCCAAGGTGGTCTTTGGCCAATGGTAACTTTAGTATGTTGGGAACACATCTTTGCTTTCATGGAGTTAACCATCCCAAGCCCCAGATCAGTTTGCTCTTTAGGGCCATAGAATCATGGATTTCAGCCTGGATGTCTACTGATGGTCTGAGGGTGTTAGCCCTTTGAGGTAGTCCAGACAGGAAGCCCAACTACGAGTACTAACTCTATCTTTATTGTAAAGTTACATTAACAGAATTTTGCAAGAGCGAAAGCATTTCTCCCCTGCTGTTCTTTTACTCTCCAGGAAATTAGGGAGAGTCCCTTCTGAAATGCTTCCCACACGCCGCCACTCCCTTCTGTGGACTGAGATATCTTTTACGTGATGGTGGTCCAGTCTATGGCTCTTCCTCCTGTCTCCCAAGGTCATTCCCACATACCATTACAGAGATAAAAAGGATCTTGCTTGCTACAATCCTGTGAGCGCTACAAGTTCCCTTCTAAAGCCCAGGAATTTACTCGGGAAACACTGGAGGAAGTAGGTGCTTTCCAAACTGAAGCATGACTTTTCCTGTCCTAGACCTAGAACTCTTTTTCTGTCCTAGTCCTAGAACTCTGCAAGAAAATGGTATGACATTTCCAGCCAGATAAAAATTGCCAAAACTAGATATCCTTTCAGTCTGTGCTGCAAAATGTTCAAACACCCTTAGAGCAGACTTCAAGCCTTTGGGAGAATAGAGGTAGAAGAGTGTGTGGCTACTCTTTCTACCCAACATCAAGCTGGGTGTCATCTGGAGACCTGCCACCAATTGCAATTCAGGATCTGAAGCAAGAAATTTAAATAAAAACTGAAACAAGAATATATGTTTTAAAAAATAAGAGAAGGACAGACAGGGGAGAAAAAAAATGAAGGAATGTTTTTAAAGTAGACTAGAGAAAGGTAAGAAATTCTTACCATCAAATCTCAAAAAATATTGAGATTTATCAAAACTCATTTGAAAGGGCAACTGAGGTTCTGCAAGGATCTTAGATACAAACTTGACTTTATGAAATGATCAACAAGGATTCCACCATGAGCCATTTGCAAATTTGGCATTACTCGAACTTTCATTGACACACACACACACACCCCATTTCTGAATGTTTTCCACCTCACTATCATTTCTAATCCCTATTTTCACAAAAAGAGTTTGAAGCCAAGGCCTCAGAAACTCAAAATGTTGAGGTCACCATGAGCCAGTTCCATGCTTATTCCAGCTGACCAATTACTAGCAAACTGAAAAACTGGACAAGGGGAGGAGGGAGAGAAAATTGTACTCACCAATTGGACTACCTCCACACTCTGCCAGATTGCAATCAGATCTAGGTCTTTGTGATCCCAGAGCATCAGTAGCGATTGAAGACTAAGATTATTTATTTCCAGTTGAGCGGTGGTGTATCTGAAACTAACCTTTGTTTTTGCTAAAACGAGCCTCAAGAGGGCTGGTTTCCTATTAGCAAGAACTCTTGCATCACCCTGCTTTCCAGCTCCTGGACCCAATGCAGCATCTTCCCGCTCTAGGTGGAGAAACAACTACTAGTGAGTCCTACAGAAAGACTATTCCCCTTCCCTGTTCTCCCCCCATTCTTTAGGAACATCACTGAATGAATGCAGACAAATGAAATTAAAACATGTCATAGAAGAGGCAGAGCACTGACTGAATGCCAGTTGATGCACTCAGTTGGTTAGCTAGAAAAAGCATTGATTGGCTCATGGTGACCTTGGCATTTTCAGGGTCTATGGCCATGAAAACTTCAAGTCAGCTTCAAAATGCTTTTGTGGAACTAGGGACTGCAAATGAGAGTGACATAAAAGCACCCTCAGTGACATTTTAACATGACGTAATGGCTTAAGCAGAAATACCAGTGCTGCAAATTCTAATCATCAATAGTTTCTTCAGTTTTTCTACTGTGTCTTTTGAGAGCATATAGCAAATTGCTGCACATTTGAAAGAAGAAGAATGAGCAACTAAATGTACTTCCTTTAATTAGAACTCTGATTATTGTATCATGCAAAGCTGCAATAGAAGATGAAAGACCTCCAACTGGAAAAATAAAAACTGGCTAAACATTGGGTTCTTTGCAGCTATAAATGCATACAATTCTATGCTTAATTAAAGTACATCTCAGATTTTTATTTCTAACTATTCACAAAGATGCTGAGATGCAAATTCAGAAAGCAGTGAATTAAAGCCAGATTAATTATTCATCTCTATCTGTCAAATTGGAATGCAATCTGCACTACTCTTCCTATTGTTACTTCAGAGGAAACATTCACAAGAAATATAAGCAATAATGAAAAAAAAATCCAATTAAAAGGTAGGGAATTTAATCCCATTTTAATTGTGAGCAGCTGACCAAATGCACCACTTAATGGACTTTCCATAAGCATCCAAAGACACATCAAGCCAATTCCACCTCATAATGATAACATTGGTGGGGCAAAAATGCATCAGCTTCTCACATTATTGGACAGGAGTTTTCACTTACTGGCAAGGAACAAAATACCATAACTTGAGTCATACATAGTTCTGAGCCCCCAAATTTAAATATTTGAGGTCTCCAATTAAGAGTCAAGAAACATAGCTGGAAGGCTGCTAGGCTGGATGGACAAACCAGTTTGGCTCTATATACGGCAACCCCTTATCATCTGAACATCACTAATTCTCATTTTTACGTCCCTGCAATATTGGACTGTATTTTCTTAACTCTACACATTCAACATGAAAGTACTTCCATACTAAAAAAGATACTGTATACAGTGGTGTTTCTCAACCTGGGCAACTTTAAGATGTGTGGGCTTCAACTCCCAGAATTCCCCAGCCAGCAAGAGAAGCACTGTTATACAGATTACTCCACAAAGACTACAGTTACAGTCATGCCTTTTCTACTAAGTTAATATACAAACACACCTGTATTAAGAGAAGCTACAGATTATCTCAGCTTCCTTGTACATATTTATACAGCAAAAGAGAGCTACATACATACAACCTGTGTAATAATCAGTCAATGGGCCACTTAAGTGACTCCCTTCTACAAAATCTGAATCAGCATGTTCATTAAATCAACATCATTCTTTAAAAGTCATAGTCAAGCCTTTCTAAGGAAACCACCGGTGAATGTTTATGAAAATGTTCTTGGCACACAAGCAGACCTTCTGAAGCATGTTTACCATGTTGCATGAACTCAGTCACTGTAGTTTACAAACCATGGGGTTTATAACCCATCCAATTGTGGATTATTCAATAAATCATGTATAGGCAACTCAAGGTTCAACCTAACATCTGAAAAAGCCAGAACACATACTTTATAAATCACAAAGACTCAGTTTATGCAATACACCAAGTCAAAACAAGTAAACCACAGTATGGTTTAGTGCTATTATATGCATGAATTGCACTGCAGAAATTCTCAGCACATTCTATTATGGAGAACCAAATGTATAAGTGGGATTATATGAGTGAAATTTTTTATGGAAGCTATTCTTTGATTTGTTATAGTCTTCTTCTGCGGACTTTTCCATTTTAGCTGTTCTTAATTTTATTTTGTATAATAAGAGAGTTGAAGTGAAGGAAAAATACTCTGGATTATAAATTAAACCTAGAGATAGTTTACTGACTGGAATGTTTATTATGAGGAAAGAATGTGTCATCTTCAATAAAAAAATTTATTTATTTTATTATTTAAATTTGTTACAGCCATACAACTGTAACAGATAGCATTTTTAAGGCTGGGGCTTCTAGGAAACAGATGAGTTCTAATTTCTTCAGAAATGGTTCAGTTCCAGAACAGTCTGATTGTTCAGTTCCGGAATAATTGGAAGAATACATACAAAACAAGACAAAGGATACTTTTAAAGAACTGAAGAAACAAAATCCATGCAGAATAAGGAGATAAATAAGGACATTCATGAGAAATGTTTAGATGATAGTTTTCTGTAGGTTTCAGCCCACAAAGAGGGGGCAAGCAGCCCTGCCTTTCTCTCCTGGATTTCAGCTCATGTGGAAACCATCAGGTGCTCTTTCTCCTGCAGACAATCCCACTTTAGCGATGGACAGCTAGCTATTCACCATTGTCATAGTGTGACTCAGAGAAGGAAGGGGTGGCTCACTTCTATCTTTTCATGCACCAACCAGCCAGGTCTCCCACCCCACCCCACTCTCCCTGCAGTGGAGAGGAGCCTTCATCAGCCATTCCCAGCTCTGTCCCAGGCACCGCATCCTATTAAATCCCTTTCAGTGCAGTCCAGTCTTCTCCTGCCTGCCTGATCTTCCCAGAAAGAATCCAGAAATATGGATTCTAGCCCTGCTAGACAGCAAAGAGCTATTTAATTTCCATTGAAACATGTCACCTGCAGTTTTACCATTATGAAAATATGCTGGACCCAAGGTTATTAATGTAATCTCCATGAGACATTTGGTTTCTTTAATGATTTCTTATAAAACCACCAATCTTAAAATCATAGACTACAGTCACACAGAGTACAAAGTGATTTTGTGGCTTACCATAATGTATTTTCTAAATCTGGACCAGACCCAGATAGTGATTGAGGAGTTTCAACTTAGCCACAATCTGTAACCATGTTTTGTTTTGATTAATTCACTGTAACCATAGGGCATTTCTTCTGAACTTGGATAGGGAATAAACCAATGGTTAATTCCCCTTTCAAGCTCAAGAAACAGAGTTAGCTAAGCAGGAGCAACTACAAAGTGAAGCTGGTCCTACAGCAGCATCTGTGCTGTCCTGCTTTTTGTTTTCACCTCCCCACAACTGGGTCACCATGAACTATTACATTTTTTTGTTTTCTTCTGCTAAAAACAGAAGTCACAATGACAACTGGTATCCTGGAAAGAAAGCTAGGGTAACGGCCAAATGAGAGAGACTGAGAAACTGTATGAATTTGGTCATAATAGATGAAGATACCACAATACTGACTCACAATTCCATCAGACTGTTAGTCCTCCTAAAGTAGACTACACAGCATGGCCACATGTCTCAGTGTTTCTCAACCTTAGCAACTTTAAGATGTGTGGACCTCAACTCTCAGAATTCTGGGAGTTGAAGTCTACACATCTTCAAGTTGCCAAGGTTGAGAAACACTGTTCTAGTTTGTTTGTTATCAGTGATTTAGATAGGGCGAGACAGTAAAACTCTTAAGCATTATTTATTCAGTTTGTCAGCTCCCTTTGGCTCCCAGCTTTTAAGGAGGAAATAAATAGTGAAAGCGTTCAATAATTCAGACTTAATCTGCTCACTGCTCTGATAAAAGCTCTGCATAGTTGTTGGGTTTTTTTGAGGGGGGGAGGGGTATTGCCACATGTGACTTCATATTTCCTTAGAGATTTGCTCAAGACACTCTAATGGAAAGAAGACCAGGCCAAAGTACAGTACTGAAGCACCTAAAAAGATGAGAAAGTGAAAACTTTGAAATCGAAACCATTTTAATGACTTGACCTGAGTTTGAGTGTGATGGGGTTTTTTCCAAGTTCTTAATCACACAATATTGTATGTAGCCAAAGACTTTTTTGGACAAGTTCTTGCCTCTTTTTTTACAGTACAACATGAATGAGAAAACAAAAAATCAGGTTTGTACATCCCTAATTAATTAATCCTGATCTGGTAGAATATTGACAGCGATTTATTTGTTTCTCTGTTTGTTTGTTGGATTTATACGGCTGCCCATCTTACCCCAAAGTCATTATGGGGATGGATGTTCACCTATTTTCAAAATGGCTGTAGCCAGTCACAAACTCCTATTTACCAAAAGACAAATGGATAAAGTTGCTCAGTGACAGTCTCTCAACCACCAAAGTGCCCTTTCTCTTTGCCCTTTTTTTCCCCTAGGCCCATTTCCAAAGAAAGCACTTTGTTGCCATCATTCCGTTTCCATCTTCTAAGAATGCCTATGGGTCTGAGACATTCTTGGAAGTAAAGGATCCTGCTGAGCCTGCTGCTTTATGACACCCCATTAATTTCATTTGCAAAATTAACATTGGGGGAAGGAGCAAGGAGTGCTCTAACATAGGCAAGCAGATAAAGATTGTAAATGGGAAGGATGAACACATAACAATGTGTAGGGTCTTCAGAAGATGTCAAGAATACACAAATCTTTTAAAATAAAATAAATAAAATAGAAATACTCTGTCAGCCATCTGGCCTCACCACAATTTATGCCATTTGATCCAAGACCCGCTTCATTCACAGGAATTTGTACGTTGGGCTGATCTAAGTCCAGTGCAGAATGTTTCAGAAATGAATGAATGAATGAATGAGTATATATATTAGTCGGTCCTGGACAATTGTCACTGTTGTAGACTCAACCTATCAGTTGGTACTAATAGACACATGATGCCCTTTAAAGTGGGAGTTCTATTATATAAATATTATAAAAATAAAGATTTCCTTATAATCAAAGAGATGTTGTCTCTCTCTTCTTACTTTCACAAACTATTTTATTGTTTGGTTTTCTAATTTCTGTTTTTCCAGCTTATCTTTTATTCTACTGAATCTACAATTCCATATTTTGTAACTCTGTATTCTAGTCTAACTCACTGCCCTCAGAAATCCCAAACAAATGGCTGCCCAACCTTTCTTTAAAAACCCCAAGTAATGGAGCACTACAGGATGCAGGCTGTTCCACTGCTTATAGGTCTCATGGTCAGGAAATTCTTCCTTATTTCAAGTTTGGATCTCTCTTTGTAAAGGTTCCATATATTGGTCCTAATCTGATCCATGGGCATTATGAAGAATAGTGCCCTCTGACAGCCCTTCAGGTATTGGGAGACTGCTCTTGTGTCCCTTCATAGTCTTTTTTTCTTCCCTTTAGGCTAAACATAGCCAATTCCTTTAACCGTTCTTCATAGAATTTAATCTCCAAGTTCCACACTTTGTTGCTCTTCTCTGCCCTCTTTTCACTTCCTTGGCATCCTTCTTGTATTTGGCAACCAAAACTGGGTGCAACATTCCAAGTGTGATTTGACCAGTGCAGCAAAATGCAGAATTATCACTTTTTACGATGTGAACATCTCAACATCATGCCTCTGTTAAGGCAGCCCAAGACTGCATATGGCAGCTCTAGCACACTGCTTGCTCATGCTTAATCTGTGATCTATCAAGATGCACAGATCCTTTTCACAAGTATTACTGCCAATCCAGGTATTACCTGTATTGTACCTGTACATTTGATTTTTCCTACCTAAGTGCAAAACCTGATATTTCTTGCCACTGAATAACATAACAGAGTCGCTCTGCAGTGTGATGGGCACTGACAAATAAACAAACATTTTGTTGGATAGGGCCCAATGTTCAAGTCTATCAAGAATCTTTTGAACCCTGAGTCTTTCTTCTGAGCTGTTGGAAACCTCCCCCTCCCCTTTTATTCCATCTCTTCCAGGGGCAGAAAAATCGCCACGGACGTGTCAGGGGCGGAAAAGGGCCGCGGACCACGCGGCAGGGCGGGAAAACGGCCGCGGACCACGTGGAACGGGTGGAAAATGGCCACGGACCATGTGGAATGGGCAGAAAATGGCCGCGGACCACGTGGCATGGGCGGAAAAATGGCCGCGGACCACGTGGAACGGGTGGAAAATGGCCACGGACCATGTGGAATGGGCAGAAAATGGCCGC